ATATTTAAGAGAAATACAGTCGCCGGTTAATGTCCATTCAAATAAAGGACTCAACCCCCCTCTTCCCACGCTCGCTGGCTCTCCCTCCCTGAGAAATGTTTGGGAGAAAAGACTAGGTTTTTATGTTTAGTAATAAATAATACCTCAGACTATGTTTAAGATAATATAATTGCTGGATTCCTTGCAAGATTGTGAATAATTTGAATATAAACGTCATATATTTTGCACAAAAGATAAAATTTTTGCTCTCTCTAATAAAATTCTTAAATTAGATCTAAAATTTGCATGTCTAATGCAAATTTTAGGTTGTTTATATTCAAATTAATCACTATCTTATAAGAATTCCAGCAATGTAAATTATATTCTGGCCGGGTAATTTCTATGAATTTTATGAGCTAAAAACAAATATCTTCAGTAAACAAACAAATTATACTTCACCCAGACACAATACCTTACGTACGTTGTAGTAAAAATAACATCTTAATTTTATGATGGTATGCACACACAATTAATATTTAAGAGAATTATCAATAATATTAGGTTTTTTAACACTTACTTAGTAGAAGAGATGGCTGGGTACATGGGGATTGTGGTTGGTTCTGAGGCAGAGGGCAGATTATTGGCCCTCACTTGTATCACTTGTATCACCTGTATCACTATCCACCACAGAGGCTTGCAGGTCCTCTTTGTCAAACCCCTCAAAGTCCATATCCTCACTATCACTATCACTATCACTGACTTGGGCTGGCTGTGGTGGGTGGCGGGTGAAGAACCCGGTAATGTTTTGTTGACTGGGCGACCTTGTGTGCACCCTGCCCGCGCCGCTTTCCGCGTAAATGATGGAATGAACCGCGTAAATAAAAATTGTCTGTCTGGCAAGGTGCCGCGTAAATGACCAAACGTGTAAACCAAATCCGCGTAAATCGAGACTATACTGTATAGGTATTCCTAACATTAGTGAAAGTATCGTTAAACATGGGATAATATCTGTGGAGATGGCATATTACCATTATTACATGTCATGATTTTTCCAAAAATTTTATAGTTTCATTACAGTAAACAAAGGGAAAATGCCATCTCACAGACCACCTCATCTTCATGGTGAGTCAAGCTATCACCAAACTGGATTTTGACCTCATGTTAAGCGAGAATGGGTGTTAAAAATTTTATATCACAAAGTTGAATTAACATTAGGTGAATTAACGCTAAATGATGGATGTGTGTGCTGTATACATAATTACAGGGGGTCCCTAGGTTTTAAATGTGTTCTGTTCCTGAGGACATTGTTAAGTCAGAAATGTATGTAAGTCGGAACACATGCTATGTGCATACCGTACTTAGAGAAACAATGTTTAAAATCCCACTATATCATAGCCTAAGTCCTTATATACATCTAAAATCACTTAATTTAAGAGAAGAAATAAATAGAATGACAAAATAGTGTAAATGCATGTAAAAAATTAAGTCATCTGATGAATAAAATACTGTAAATTTAAAGTTTAACTCCGTTCTTATCAGTGGGCATACTTAAGTCGAGGACCCCCTGTACAGCATTGCAATAACCAAAGTAACTGTTCAATGGATAATTTTAGATGATTCCAAAAGCACCCGCTGACGAATTAGGCATGAAAAACAACTCTCTTGTTAATGGAATTATTCATAATGATTACAGATGATACTGGTATTGAGAGTTTGGGGAAATCCACTGCCAAGACCCACACTGAGATAAACAAAACCTAGCAGCCATTGTGCAGTGTGTGTGATGATGTCACAACCATTCAGTTTGCACCATAACGTGCTATGAATTCCTGTAGTGTACATAGTGCATAACAGAATGCAGTCGCAATAGCACTGTTCAGGAATCAAGTGTAAGTGAGCCAATTAGTTATAAAACACATGGTTAACCAGCTGATGGGAAAATTTACTTTATTAATTTAAAAGACTTGGGGAGACCAGGGCATTAGGGTGTGTCATAGGAGGGAAGATCAGCTAAAACTAATGGCCCATCACTTTTTTGGTAGATTTTAGTGTATATAAACAGAAAATAATTTCAGTTTCAATATTTTGCAACCTTTTGCTAGGTAAATTTTAGCGTGAAATTTATCGAAAATCTAACGTACAGCTGCATTAGTGCATTACAATTAAATAGTGAACATTGCTTTCTGACTTCATTCTTTAACAACCCAACTAACAATATTTTTTCTGTTTCAGATTCTGATGCATTTATAAGTTGATAATATTTGCGATGGCTGCTTGTGTCAGGACGAGGAACCAAAAATCCAGCCATCTCAGTCACTATCTTGGGTCTGGGAGAGAGCTCCTGAAGTCGAGTTGCCTACATTGAGAGATGCTTTGAGATACGGTGTTTTAATCAGGCAAATCAGTGAAAAGAACCAAAAAACTTACACAAACAAAGACATTGCCAGTGATATGACCAAAGCTGTCTGGCACAGTACACTCTGGCTAACGCTCAGTTCAAGCCTCCAGTCATAACAAGTCAGAAGAAGATTAGTGAGAGACGCTAGCCAGTTGGGAAAAGGCAAGAGATATCTCTTGGGAGAGGAAAACTTGCAGTTAAGGACAGCTTTGCCAAACAACTGGACCAGTTATTTGACATAATTACTTGCAAGTGCCCAATTGTTCTCTGTCCTGAGTTTGGATCGTCGTGACTGTAAATCCGAACCACATCTCCTGTATTTGCAAGCGTGAACTGAAGATTCCTGTGATCGAACTGGCATTTGTCAAAGCACAAGAGAGACTGGCAGTATAGGGGCTCTCATGATTTCTAGCCAAGATATTCCGGAGTCCAAGAGACAGGAGGCTGCCACAGAGAGACAGAAGAGGAGAAGAGTTGCCGAGGAAAAGAGACTTGAGAAGGCCCAGGGTGAGGTAAAAAAGGCCGATGATTGAGTCAAGCTGATTCAGTTTAATGACTTCCCCATGGCTGATCCGAGTGCTGACCAGGAGAATGGTGACTTTGTCCCTAACCCAGAAAATAATGATCCCAAACCTTCCAGGCATAAGATTCGAAATAGGAAAGATATCCCGAGCATAGCTCTGGCCAGCATGCGACACCACACTGGTCTCAGAGAAACTGCAGAGATAGCAACAGCTGCCTGGATTGACGGTGGTTTGATAACACCTGATGATGTTCACCTGGTGATAGATCATAACAAAGTAAGGAGAGCTCAGGAGAAACTTGTCAGTAACCTAGAAGAGGAGTTTGATAAGGGGATAAGAGAAAATGGAATCAATTGTTTGTTCTTTGATGGGAGAAGGGATGACACTAAAGTGTTCATGAAAGTTGGAGATTCTGACAAGTTGTTCCCTGCCATGGTGAAGGAGGAACACTACTCCTGCTGCAGTGAACCAGGAGGGAAGTATTTGTGGCATTTCACTCCAGAGAAAGATGACATCAGGAAACCAGCTGAGATAGTGGCAGATAACATTGTGAACTGGCTCAGAGAGAGGAACGTAGACCAGACCCTGCAGGCCATTGGAGGGGACCAACACGAACACAGGGTGGCAAGGGGGGTCAAACAGTGGATAGAGCGGAAGATTGGGAGGAAGCTGGTCTGGATTGTTTGTGACCTCCACACCAACGAGTTGCCACTCAGACATCTGATCCAGGAGCTGGATGGCAAGACTCTTTCAAACAACAGATGGTCTGGTCCTCTTGGCAAGATGCTGGACTCTGCCACTGAGTTAGAAATAAATCCGAGCTTTGAAAAAATCACAGTTGGCCCTCCACTCGTTGAGCTTGCACATACTGTCATTGACGACCTGAGTACTGACCAGTACTATGGTTACATGATTTGCAGTGCCATCAAAACTGGGGTCATGCCTGATAGACTTGCTTACCTGCAGATAGGTCCAGTCTCACATTCTAGGTGGCTCACAACGGCTCTCAGGTTCTGCAGAATTTGGGTCGCTCATCATAAACTGAAAGGGAACCAGCTTCACAACCTGAGACTTATTGTCCAATTCATCGTGAGTCTACTTGCCAAATTGGTTCAACACCAAGGTCAAGTCATCGTTCTCCGAAGGTCCGAGGCATGTTCTCTTCCAGCTTGAGCTCCTGAGGAGTCAGCCAAGGAAGGTTGTTCAGATTGTGGGGCAGACTGTGAGGAGATCTTCCTGGTATGCTCATCCCGAGGCAGTTCTGCAGACAATGCTCTGCAGTAAGAATGAGGAGGAGAGAAGAGTGGCAGTCAAAAAGATCTTGGATATGAGACTTATGAGAGGATCTGGGCATGACGAATCAGTTGGTGACGATTCCTTCAGGGTCAGGAAGACTCCTGAAGTCAATCTAGGTGCCAAGACCCTCACTGATCTCATAGATCTGGATAACATCCAGGCTGGCAGTGAGCCCCCTCTTACCTGCAGCCTCACCAATGTTCAAGTCAGAGCTTTCCTGGACAACCCCATGCATGTCCCTGCCTGGCCCTCGCACACCCAGAGTATAGAGCGTTGTGTACAGCAAGTGAGCGAGGCCAGCAGTCACGTGTACAGCCAGGAGAGGAGGGAAGGCTACATCCGAGCTCAGGTGGTCAGCAGGGAGGTGATGAGTAGAAACAGAAGCAAGAAAGACATGTTCTCTATGGTGTGCAGCAACACCGGGTCGTAGTAGTAAAACCGGTTTTTGTATTTGATGATTTTGTTTTCTAAAGGAATATTAAATTTAATAAATGTGTCAAGATCATTCGTTTCACTATTCTGGATCATTTTCATCCTAATAAATTAACCTGATACATTTACTTTACTTTAAATAAGCTATTTAGTGGTGTTGGTAAAAGGGTGGGAATACTGAATTTTCATAAGATTTCAAGTTAAAATTTACCAAGCAAAAAATGAAAACTTTTCAAATCTGAAGATATCACATGATTCTGCACATAGAACTACATCATTAATACCATGGGCCGATTTTTCAAACTCAAAAAAAAAAAATTCGCCTCCGTATGACACACCCTACCAGGGCATAGGGCATTCTCTCTACTTACTCAATAGAGATTGTGACGTTGTCATTGAGGTCAGGATCCTTTGCACGGACTGTAAGAATTTTCGTTCCAGCTCCTGCATTTTCCGTGACTGTTTGATCTTCATAAGAGCCCACAAACTCTGGGGGCGAGTCATTCTCATCCTCAATAGTAATTTTAACATGACCTGTTCCAGAAGAAATACAAGAAAATGTAACAAATTATTGGTAAAGGCGTGCTGGAAAGAGAAAGTTTTGGCAGAGGTGTAAAAGGAAGATAAAGTGTTGGTATTGTTAAGGGGAGAAGATAAAGTGTTGGCACTACTGAGAAGGGACAATGAAGTACTGATAATGTTGTGGAGGGAAGCTAAGGTGTTGGTATAGTTGTGGAGGGAAGCTAAAGTGTTGGCATGGTTGTGGAGGGAAGCTAAAGTGTTGGCATGGTTGTGGAGGGAAGCTAAAGTGTTGGCATGGTTGTGGAGGGAAGCTTAAGTGTTGGCATGGTTGTGGAGGGAAGAGGAAATATTTTAAATGTTGCAGAGTTATATTAGTGTTGTGACTGATGTGGAGGGATGTGTGAAAAAAATAAAAAATAAACTGAAAGTCAGACTCAGGTGCCAAAACCCTACACCTCTAAATTGATATTTGAGTTATGCTCATAAAGATGATCAGAAAAACAATTACGTATGTCAATTGCAATCTAATGCCTTAATGATTAGTCTTACCTGTTGTGCTGTTGTTATTGACGACTGTGTTCTCATCAACAGCTTTAATTTGAAGATTAATGGTGTCTACTATTTCCCGATCCGGTGTTTCCTGACCAACTTTTAAAACTCCTAAGTATTTGTTCTCTAAAGGGATTGAATCATCATTATCCACCGTAAACCACCTGAAAAGAACCAAATCATCAACAATACTTTACTGCCATTTTCCACACTCGTTTGGGTTAGTCATGATTACCCAAAGGCAGCTCTCCAATTTGCAAGGTCTCTTACAGTCTCTTGTCAGTTTCTTAACTATTATTTTGTTTGTATGCTTTCTCAAGGACTGAAACTGTGCCTACAATCCACCATTAATAGGGTCATACAGTGTACACAGTGATAGCACAATGAGATATATTCGTTGATGAGAACTGAAAAAGAAAGTACTACAAGGAAATAATAGTTGAAAAAAAAATAACAAGCTAATATCCTGAAAGGCATTCTATTACCGACGCAAAGAAAGTTTTTTTATTTTATTTTTTTCTAAAAGATTGAGTGGGCATATCCACCATTCATAGAAAATGCAGTGTACATAGAGATGGCACATAGATACCGACAAATCGCCAAGGTGAACTGAAAAAAAAAGGAGACGAAAAACAGAAGACAACTCAAAAGGCAACACTGGGAGCACAGTGACACAGAGGTTAAAACACCAACAGGAGGCAGTTAGGTTTTATTTTATTTTTTTCTTCTTCCTTTTTAAATAACACTGAATTGCCATTAGGGCACAATCACCTCCATATTTTACTTTACTTAGACTTCAATTAGTAGATGTGATTATTAAGGAAGTCATCCCACTGAGAGGTATATCTCTTATTCAGATGAAATAAATTGTGTTGCCCGATGGATGACACTAGCCATAATGGCCTATACCCAGGCAGCGGAACGGGGCTTTTAAAGGGACCTTGATGCTAAGGCCCTGCTACCAGGACACAAATTAAAAGCAGTAATAATAAGGATCAATATTATCATTATTATTAAGTCGACAATTAGGACTCCATTGCTTGGTAAACTGGTGGGCTTAAAGCTGAGTAGATCTGTAGAGTCTGTACCCCCCCCCCCCCTTCCGAACAGCAACATCCATGGGGGGTCCGAAACCAAAGGGGTAAACCGGTAGTGACACATGTGTGTTTGGGACTGGCTGGGAACATATCTCATTGAACCCCATGTTATAAAGCTCCCTATTATTAATAATTCACCTAGCGATGGGGTTTTCAGGAATCTAGCCAATCGTTTATCGATGTTCACCTGTATACAGTATTACCCCGCTTTACGCGGTTTCACTTAACATGATTTCGCATATACGCGGTGCCTCGCCAGAACCGAACTTTCACTTAACGCGGTTCATCTACTCATATACGCGGTGAAGTAAAATGTTTTTTTTTTTTTTATTTAGCTCATAAAATCCATACAAATTACCTGGCAAGAATATAATTTACATTGCTGGAATTCTTACAATATGATGATCATTTTGAATATAAACATCATAGATTTTGCATTAGACATACAAATTTTAGATATAATGTTTACTCTGAGTAAATATGTTATCTTTTGTGCAAAATATATGACATTTATATTCAAAATATTCCTGGTCTTACAAGGAATCCAACAATGTCAATTATATTATCCTAACTTTAGTTTGAGGTATTATTTATTACTAAAAAGGTAAATATTCTGGTTTTCCCACACATCTGGTAGGGAGGGTTGGTGGGGGGTGGGGGAGAGGGAGGGACCGACCGACCATCTGGCACAGTGTGAAGAATATTTTTTTTTTATTAACTGAAGATATTTGTTTTAGCTCATAAAATTCATGCAAATTACTCGGCCAGAATATAATTTACATTGCTGGAATTCTTACAATTTGATGATCATCTTGAATATAAACATCATAGATTTTGCATTTGACATACAAATTTTAGATATAATGTTTACTCTGAGTAAATATGTTATCTTTTGTGCAAAATATATGAAATTTATATTCAAAATATTCCTGGTCTTACAAGGAATCCAGCAATGTCAATTATATTATCCTAACTTTAGTTTGAGGTATTATTTTTTTAAATCTAGTGGTTTTCCCCCCAAAATTTCTCAGAGAGGGAAGAGCCAGCAGTGTAGTGTGAGAAGAGGGGGAGGGAGTCGAGTCCATTATTTGAATGGACATTAACTTGGCAACTGTATTTCTCTATTTCTCTTAAGTATTAATTGTGTGCATGTACCATCATAAAATTAAGATGTTGTTTTTACTAGAACATAGGTATTGTGTCGGAAAAAGTAGAGTTTGGGGGTCGGGCCAGTCTCTATTGGAATTAATCCCATATGTTCTGTTGTTCCATTTACGCGGATTTCACTTTCCGCGGTACCCTGTGGGTTCAATTGACCGAGTAAATCGGGGTACTACTGTATATATATTTCTCTCTCAAAAATATCAGAAAATAAGAAACTCACTTGTCAATTTTTGCATCAACAAGATTGTTATCCTTTAATGCTTCTGAATGATCCCAGTCAATGTGAAAGGTGATATGAGCTCCAGCATCTTTGTCTCTTGCAGTAATTTTTCCAATGGTAGAAGTTGTAGGCGTGTTCTCCATCACCATCATATTAGGCTGTAAGGAATATTGATACATAAGTACTGCATAATAAATGAAGGAAGAATCCTCACATCTTGTTTTCTCATGGAGCTGGTGCAGGGTACCTATGTATACTTGTACATGGAGTTAGAAATAAGGTTCTCAAGTGACCCAGGCCTTTGTCTGGAACCTAACAGGTGAATTACTATTTAATATAAAAATATCCTTTACCATTACATCCATTTCCAATATAGAAGATTCTAGATAGCAATTAAGGTATCGTGTAAAGGGAAAAGGCCTGAGGGTCCTTGTCACCACATACAGTAAGCATGTATATACCCTCAATCCTCTATTACTGATATCATTCAGAAAACAGGATTTCAGGTCCATTCTTTACTTCTAATACAAGTTCCACTCAATAACAACTCTGTATACCCAAGCTAGTAAAAAAAAGGGAGGTAGAAGGTAACAAAAGTCCCCAAGTGCTCATATAGAATAACACTAACCTGAGAATTATAAAATTCAAGCAGGAACTTACCTAAATGACTCAAGTACTACACATTCCACAGGGGCAGATCCAGGGGGGGGGGGGGTTCCTGGGGTTCCGAATGTCCCCTTTTCATCAGAAAATTCCAACACTTTTCCTTTAATGCAATATTGTACTCAGGCATTTTATATAGAAAAAAAATAAATACTAATGACCTTAGAATATCTCCTAATATAAAGTGCATATGGCTTCAAAATGGCCTCAAAATTCCCATGATATTGGTCAGATTTCCAAAAAAATTCTAGGGGACCCCCCTGATAATCCTGGATCCGCCCCTGTTCCAGGTCAATAGCAAGTTCATTTAGAAATCAGTCAATGAATGTCCTGGCCAGTACTCAGTCAATAAATGTAGCAAGGATCCCCTGTACCTAAGAACGATTACCAAACACATGATACATGCAAAATTGGACTACGCTACCATACCAACATTGTCAGAAACAGCATGTCAGTATTCATTTCAGGTATATCCTGTTTGAAATCAGCCCCCAGCTTATGTTCAGTTTTGCCTCTGTGCTCAGGACTGTATTACTATGTATTCTCATTCAAGTGCAAGTGCAAGTAGTAGTGGTAAAAGATCACGAAAAGGAGTTCTATTTGACATAAAACTGGGCGTGTTAAGGAGGTCTGATGAGGGAGAAGAACTCAGCTACATCACCAAAACACTGGACCTTGCTACCTCAACTGAGGGAACAATCCATGATAAAAAGAGACAGAATTAAGGTTAGTGCAAAACCTGCTACTCCTTTAACTGCCCATACACTGTATTTGCACTGAAGAGATGTGATCCTAAATATGGAATGCCTCCTGAGTGTGTGGATTGAGGACCAAACCAAATGAAATGTGCCTAAACACTATGATCATTCAGGAAAAAGCAAAAAGTTTGTATGATGATTTAGTGAAGAAACAAGGTGCAAGTTCTGATGCAAAACCCTCTCATGCCAGTAAAGGCTGGTTTGAAAGGTTTAAGAAATGCCTAAGCTTACATAATACAGGTTGTACCTCTCTAGTCCGGCAACCTCGGGACCTGACCGGTGCCGGACCATGGAAATTGCAGGACCATGGAAATTCACCCTTTTCCTGGATAGATAGTGATTTGTGCTTATGCCTGGAAGCACTAGCACCACTTTCTCTGCGTCATGGTCTCTTTGAAGACATATTGAAGGGTTAAATGTCGTATAGTAGCTTCTTAAATTTCGCGAGTTTTTAATTCTTAACGTATTTTATTGGAACACACAAAAAAATAAATAAATAAAAATATTGACGGCGGAAACTTGAATTTCGACGGGTTTGAACGGCCCGCCAATGTGCAGACGACGTGCATAATAGTGTAAACAGCGTCATTTCTCTTATGTACAAAGGATTCATTATTGTTTATTACTGAATGTCTTTTTTATTGAATTAATGTTTATGTGTGCAAAATGAGCAATACAATTCATTAATAATACGTAGAATATTAAAACACACGAGGAAATGACAAAGCATTGTTTTCGTTGATTACAAAACCAGTGACTGACTGGTTCTACATATAAAACTGAAGAAAATAAGACCTTGGTTGTAGCTGTAGTAAAATTAATATGGTTGTCTTAAGTAATGTTATTTAATGTTAATAAATGGAACAATAGAAGTAGCTAACGATAATGGTAAAGAAAAAAGAGAGATCGCATATGTAAATGCGCATGCGCACACGTGAAAACATATCGTCATTACTTTACATAAGAATATGAAAGCAACACTTATTTACTGTTCATATATATTTTAATTAATGTTTCTGAATTTGTTTTTATTGAATTAATGTACGTGTGTGCAAAATTAACAATACAATTTATTAATAATACGTGGAATATTAGAGGAGACGAGACGGCTGCCGGCATTGTTTATGTTAAAGCTTACGAAACCAGTGACTGATTGGTTCTACATATAAAACTGAAGAAAATAAGACCCTGAGTTTAGCTGTAGTAAAATTAATGTAAAAAATGAATATGGTTGCTTGAAGTACCTGTAATGTTATTTAATGTTAATAAATGGAACAATATAAGTAGCTAACCATTAATGGTAAAAAAAAAAGTGAGACTGCTCGTATGTAAGTGCGCACATGTGAAAATATATCGTCATTACTCTACATAAGAATATGAAAGCAACACTTATTTACTGCTCATATATATTGAAGGGTTAAATGTTGTACTCTGTATAGACAAGCAGAGAGAGAGAGAGAGAGAGAGAGCAGCCGAACTGCCGGATGTAAACAAACCTTAATTTCCCGCGGCTTTTTTTTTTTTTAAGGGGATTAGCCCACCCGGGCATAGGTCACTGACCCACATTGGGGCCTGAGGGGCAAAAAATTAATACTCCTGTAATAATAATAATAATTCAGATAAGTAAAAAAAAAAGAAAAAAAAGAAAAAGAAAATGCTGCCTATCTACCTATTGGACAAACCAAAATCGTTCCGGACCACTGGAGTTTCCGGACCACAGAATGCCGGACTAGAGAGGTACAACCTGTATTAAGAAGGTTGGTGAAGCAGCCAGTGCTGATACTGAGGCTGCAAAGAAATATCCAGCAGAACTGAAGGCATCTATTGAAGCAGATGGCTACAGACCAGAACAAGTGTACAAAGTTGATGAATCGGCCTGTTTTGAAAGTGCATGTCTGCCAGGACATTTATTTCAAGTGAAGGAAACTCAGCTCCAGGCTTCAAAGGATCGTCTAACACTTCTGTTGATAGGTAATGCTGCTGGAGATAAGAAGCTAAAGCCCTTGCTTATGTACCACTCTGAAAATCCAAGGGCTTTCAAGGGCTATGCCAAACCTAAATTACCTATGATATGGTGAACATAGCCTCAAATTTGCAAGAGGCATGGAATACCCAATGAGTGGCTACAAGGAGCTCTATATTAAAAAAATTGTGCCATCAACAATAAACTACTACTTTTAAAAAAGAATTTGCCCCAAGACCACAGCCAGCAGCAACTGAAGAAGATGATGATGATTTACAGGGAGAGGCAGGAGTCAGCAGTGACCCTCCGTCTTTCTCCCAGAAACTCCAATTGCATCACCTAATCTCACTCAGCACTCAACATTGTTTCTGGTAAGTTAAATTCGAGTGCTTTGTGCATTTATTACCACGTTACATCATGAACGAATTATTGCATGTGCTTAAAACTGTCTATTTTTTGGCTGCAAAAAATTTCTGTAGGAACGCATCTTAACTTATATAATGGGAGTCGAAGACAAAAATGCTCTTGCGTTACGGAATTTTGCATTATGGAAAATTTTTCAGGAACTGACCCTTTTGATAACCCGGAGGATAACTGTACTTTCCTCTGCAATGTCACTGTCAGGATCACTCTCATCCCCACCCTGTCTTTCCTCTGCCTCTGTCTCTCTCCATACTCCACACTTTCTAATTTCACGACTAAACTGATAGAAAGACAGGATTTCTTGGGTACAGTACCAGCAGGACAGTTTTCAGGATGTTCTCAGGCATGGTGATGGCTTTCTTTAATGTTGGGCTAAAAAAATTATCTACGGAACAGAGCCAGATGTTGTCACCAAGGTAGAAAGCATGAGACTGAATTTTGGCGGGATGGGACTAGGAATGAGTGGGCCAGTCCATGTTTTTGATAAATGTTCACTGAATGTTCCTTATATTTTGGCCTTTAACCACATCTCATTTCATATCTAATGTAAAAGTAATGAACCATTTTAGCAGAACTTCTTGCTGGCACAGTTGAAGGTTGCTTTCCACTCACATATTTTGGTATAGAGAAGGTTTTAAGAAAATTACCAACAACAGAAGTCAGTAAATATGATGGCCAAGTTCCTGACCTGACTCCCTGGGTCAATACAAGAATAGTGTTGTACCTATTTGGTGGAGTGGAACAATTTTTAGCAAAGTGGTGCATTCCAAAGTAGCTTGGGCAAAAGTTTTAAAATTTGCATAACAAGAAAAATATATTTCACCTAAAATACATTGCACACTAGAAGAAGGATTCACTAATTCATGAATAATGTATATATGAAAAATTATAAGTAGTGTGAATGGATATAGTGAGGACTGCCTGTCCTGGAAAAACAGTCTGTCTGTTTTTACTTACAATTTGACAGTAATGAATATAGTACGCCCAGATAATTCGCTGATTTTTATTTCGCAGTCCTCTATTATTTGCGAATGACACCCTGGATGCACCCAAAAATGTCTCCGGGTAGCTTTAACATTGCCAGCACTTTTGCGGCTGGGACAGGGAGCTATTCGTTCTACAGACAGTAATTTCCTTTACCTGTATTGTATATATGTGTGTGTGTGTGTGTAGACACACACACACACACACACACACACACACACACACACACACACACACACACACACACAAAACACATACACATAAATAATAATGGGAAAATACTTTCACAAATAATCAGAAACAAATGCAGTATTAAAAATTTTGAATCTGCCCTCAAGTCCTGCTCTGTGCTTTATTAATAACAAAGCATGGAGTGGATTTGAGGGTAGACTCAACATTTTTAATAATACATTTGTTTCTGATTATTTGTGAGAGGATTTTCCATTATTATTTATTTGTACAGTACAGTACAGTAGTACCCCGATTTACGCGGTCAATTGAACCCACAGGGTACCGCGTTAAGTGAAATCCGCGTAAATGGAACAACAGAACATATGGGATTAATTCCAATAGAGACTGGCCCGACCCCCAAACTCTACTTTTTCCGACACAATACCTATTTTCTAGTAAAAATAACATCTTAATTTTATGATGGTACATGCGCACAATTAATACATAAGAGAAATAGAGAAATACAGTCGCCAAGTTAATGTCCATTCAAATAATGGACTCAACTCCCTCCCCCTCTTCTCACACTACACTGCTGGCTCTTCCCTCTCTGAGAAATTTTGGGGGGAAAACCACTAGATTTTAATAAATAATACCTCAAACTAAAGTTAGGATAATATAATTGACATTGCTGGATTCCTTGTAAGACCAGGAATATTTTTAATATAAATGTCATATATTTTGCACAAAAGATAACATATTTACTCAGAGTAAACATTATATCTAAAATTTGTATGTCTAATGCAAAATCTATGATGTTTATATTCAAAATGATCATCAAATTGTAAGAATTCCAGCATTGTAAATTATATTCTGGCCGGGTAATTTGTATGAATTTTATGAGCTAAAACAAATATCTTCAGTTATTAAAAAAAAAAAATATTCTTCACGACACTATCTGTCAATCAAAGTACCCCACCCTGCCTCCCCCCCTCTTCCAACCGCGCCAGATGGTCGGTCCGTCCCAACCCTCCCTCCAAGAGAAATGTTGGGTGAAAAACTAGATTTTAACATTTAGTATTAAATAATACTTCAGATTAAAGTTAGGATAATATTATTGACATTGCTGGACTCCTTGTAAGACCAGGAATATTTTGAATATAAATGTCATATATTTTGCACAAAAGATAACATATTTACTCAGAGTAAACATTATATCTAAAATTTGTATGTCTAATGCAAAATCTATGATGATTATATTCAAAATGATCATCATATTGTAAGAATTCCAGCAATGTAAATTATATTCTGGCAGGGTAATTTGTATGAATTTTATGAGCTAAAACAAATATCGTCAGTTAATAAAAAAAAAAAAATATTCTTCACACCGTGCCAGATGGTCGGTCGGTCCCTCCCTCCCCCCCACCCCCACCAACCCTCCCTACCAGATGTGTGGGAAAACCAGAATATTTACCTTTTTAGTAATAAATAATACCTCAAACTAAAGTTAGGATAATATAATTGACATTGCTGGATTCCTTGAAAGACCAGGAATATTTTGAATATAAATGTCATATATTTTGCACAAAAGATAACATATTTACTCAGAGTAAACATTATATCTAAAATTTGTATGTCTAATGCAAAATCTATGATGTTTACATTCAAAATGATCATCATATTGTAAGAATTCCAGCAATGTAAATTATATTCTGGCTGGGTAATTTGTATGAATTTTATGAGCTAAATAAAAAAATAAAAAATATTATACTTCACCGCGTATATGAGTAGATGAACCGCGTTAAGTGAAAGTTCGGTTCTGGCGAGGCACCGCGTATATGCGAAATCCCGTTAAGTGAAACCGCGTAAAGCGGGGTAATACTGTATGTGTTTTGTGTACGTGTGTCTACACATATGTACAGTATATATATACAATACAGGTAAAAGAAATAATTGTCCTAAGGGCAAACACGTAAAGGGAATACCTGTATACATTTCTTTGTACACAAGTAAAAATGTCCCCATGTTATTCATGGATTTGGCTATTCGCGGCCACTTTGAAAATCTAATCCCCTAATCCCTGCGAATTTGAAGGGCATGTTGCATTGACTAAAGTAAGATGTTTCCTTTTAATAATCTTGAACTCTTTCTGGCAGACATAGAGAACAATGAGAGCCACTTATCATTTCCAAGCTTGCAAATATATAACCAGTGCCTAAAATTTGGTAGATGATCCATTAATAGTATCATTCCCTTTTTATTCAGAGGAATAACATGTTATCTCTTTCTAAGCTTAAAATTTATACTCAATTTTCTCTTCATAATACTTACTGTGCCTAAAAATATTGGAGGTTCATCAACAACATCTCCTACAATTATTGTGAATTCACTGCGGCCCACGTTCCCAGTATTGCTTCCATGTTCATCCCGAGCCTCCACAGTACAAGTGACAGCGGGCTTAGTCTCAAAATCCAGGGAACGTGCCAGAGTCACTTCTCCAGTAATATTATTGATGTCAAGCGCCAAGCAATCCTTTAGCAAATACCTGAAATAATATGTAAATTAATATTGATGAACCATAATCAATAATCTGGGGTCAGCAATAGTGGGGTCTAGGGGTTCATGCCCTCTCCACTCTTCAGTACAGTACAATACAATACAGTACAGTATGAGAATTGACCCTCCCAACATTATGGGTAATAAAACCATAAATAAAGTGGTGCAGTAGGTAGTGCAGTATTCCCTTAAAGCTTGCGTTCCTCGAAAACTCATGGATTGCCATGGACAATAAATAAAATAAATCTGAAGCTGTGTGTCAGGGATCAAGAGGAGTCAACAAAACAGAGCACCATATTTCCCAGGTCATAAGATGCACCCTATAATTAGCAAGGTATATATTGGAAAAAGAATTTTTGCAGATCTAATAGCCTACTGTACTGGCAAAGCTAACTCGCTGGCTATATGCTATCATGTTTCTCACTACCACAGCTCACTATCACTGTATGGACCTATTATCATACATTTGTTGGTATTATCAATAAAATTAACATAATTTAATACAAAAAGATATAATTATACATATAGGTACCTACGGTATACACATTACAAATACTTGTCGGTACCAAGCATGTTCACTAGGAACTGTCCTGTACAGGGATTATTTACATCCTGTACACCAGATCAGCTGATGTTTCAGAGGTATTGTCTTTGCATTGTCACTATCACAACTAACTATCACAGTGTGGACCTAATATCCATACAGTCTTATTTCATGTTTATGTTTATTTATGTTATTTTATATTAGTATTGTCTTATACTGTACATACATAATGTTGTTATACATGTGCATATAGCTATTTATATATGTATTTTGCACACTACTGGAACTGGCATGAAAAACTTGTGGATTTTGCTCTCTCATGGGGTCCATTTTACCTAACCCCAGCGAGCTTTATGGGAATACTGGATGAAATATGTTTTTTTTTTTTTTTTGCAGGAATAGCCCACCGAAGCACAGATCATCGACCCACAACCGGGCCTTGGGGGCGAAAAATAAAAATAAAAAGAAATTAAAAATATAAAAGAAAAAGACCATATTAATGTACACCATGAAGATGCCGGAAAACCAGCTTTTTAAAGTGAGACATTGTATGAGTATGGAAAGAAAGAAGAAGGCAGATCATTCCACAGATTGGCTGTGTGAGGAAAGAAGGATGTACTATAACGGGTTATTCTAGTGTGACTGACATCCACAGAGAAACGGGCACCGTGGGCAAGATGAGTGTTACGAGCCCACGGCCTTGCCGGCGGTACACAGGATGCCAAATACACCAAACATTGCCCATTAGAGTACCTGTAAAAGAGAGAGAGAGTGAAGCAACATTGCGGCAAAGAGAAAGGGAAGAAAGATTTTCAACTAAAGGAAGAGAGTTAATAAGACGAAATGCCCTTGATTCCACCCTATCTCACAGTTGGACAGAAGAAGAGCCAACCCAGATATGAGAGCAGTACTCCAAGTTAGGATGAATGAATCCCTTTTTCTTGAAGCACCTTCTCAGGAGTGAAGTAGCTACGGCATCTCTACAGCATTCCCAGCTTTCAGAAGGCAGCTTTAGCAATGTTGAGGATGTGTGGCTTCTATGACATATTAGAGCAAATGGTGAGGCCTAGCTTATCTATATTAGAATTTGGCAAAATGATAGCCATGTTAATATTGTTATTTTTATCGACTCTTTATCTGTGTATTTCTGGCGAAATAAACTGCTTCAATATCAATAACAGTGTGACCTGGAAGGAGAACTAGGGGGATGTAGCTACAGGGAAAATCTAACTTGGCAACATACCAAGTCCACACACACACACACACATTCATCTCGTGTTCGAGATTGCCAGCCCTAGGGCCACCTTGGCATGAATTTGTTTAAGGTATAGAGGCTATCGCCAACACAACAACCACACCCTAAGTTATTGAGTTGCATAACCCAGAGTCAAGGAACAGCACGAGAAGAACAAACAGCTCGTCAACTACACTGGCTAACCATTACCTGAGAACACGATCCACAAATCGATTAACATCCAGGTTCCCAATTACTGCTGGGTAGACAGAGGCAAATGTCGTAAATTAAACTTGCCCATAATTTCACTCTGCCCGGGGATCAAACCAGGGCCCGCTCCATATAATGCAATAACTACAATAGCTACCATAAAAACAATGTGAAAGAACTCTGTGAGTGAGTGAGTGTAAGGCTCCTGCCTCACCACATAAATCAACTCATGCACAGCCATCATCCAGCTCATTATACCTCTCATCATCATCAAAACCCATATACCCCCAAAAGTCCTATGGTGACGGACGAGTGGCGATGGGGATAGGCAGAGATGACTGCCGGGAGTCTCCAGTCACAACTCTGCACATGGGCGGCACAGATAAGATGGTAGTTTATGCACTGCGATCTAGGCAGCAGTGCAATTCGATCCTGTCTGTGCAACTGAGCAGCCCTTTTGAGGAGCCACTGTGCTCACCCCACACGGGGAGGGGGCTAGAAAAGGTGCCCTAAACATAGCCTGCGTAAAAACCCAACCTGACTGGGCAACCGCACCCAGAAAGGTCATCTTAATGAGGTCGAAAACACAATCAAAATCACAGATCCAAACAAAAACAAACCATACAACCTCTTTTGGTATCTGCATGGAATGTCAGGACCCTATTGGATACTGGTACAAATGAGTGACTTGAAAGAAGAACTGTCCTTGTGGCAAAAGAGCTGGCGAGGTATAACATCGACATAGCCATTAGTGAGTCCTGGCTCCCAAATGAGGGCCAACTCACAGAACAGGGGTCTGGCTACACCTTCTTTTGGAAGGGTAAGCCTGCTACAGAGAGAAACCGCATTTATGGAGTTGGCTTTGCCCTCAGCCAACATATCCTACACAGGCTAACTGAAATGCTTATTGAGATCAACTCTCACCACATAACGCTTTGAGTCACAGTGAATCACTCACGTCATGCCTCTTTCATCAGTGCTACGCCCCAACACTGGATGCTGAGGACATCATCAAGGAGGCCTTTTACACCGACCTCAACAGAGTGCTAACCTCTATCCCCAGAGAAGACAAGGTTGTGCTCTTTGGCGACTTCAATGCCAGAGTTGGCAGAGATGCTAACATTTGGCAGGGAACCATAGGGAGAAATGACTAGGGAAGTGTAATCCAATGGCCTACTCCTCCTCAGCAAGTGTGCTGCACACAAACTCACTATCACCAATACCTTGTTTTGGCAGGCCAACAAGTTCAAAGGTTTGTGGCAACACCCATGAACCAAACACTGGCATCTCATTGACTACATCATTGTCAGAGAAAGAGATAGCTGAGATGTCCTCATCACCCGGCCATGCGTGGTTCAGACCACTGTGACACTGATCATCGACTTGCCAAAACCAAGCTCTCACTTCACGTTGCCCCAAAACGGCGAAGGCAGCAAGCCTCCAGAAGAAGTTTTAATACTAAACGTCTGGAGGATCCAGTGGTAGCATATGGTTTCAGGGAGCAGCTCGAACGTGGGCTTATAAACAACCCAACAGCAAACAACGCGAATCCCAGTGCCGAATGGGATACTTTTAACCATGTTAGGACAAAAACCTGCAGAGAGACCCTCGGCCAGATCAAAAGAACGCACTAGGATTGGTTTGATGTAAATGACCCGGCAATCAAAGTGCTCATTGATGATAAACATGCTGCTTTTACTGACTGGCAAAAAAAACCTCAGTCTCGGACCAAAGCTGAAACCTTCCGTAAGAAGAAAGCGGCTGCCCAGAGGGAACTTCGCAATCTAAAGAATGACTGGCTTAAACATTAAGCATGTGAAATACAAAAAATTGCAGATCGGCACAAGATGCACAAAATTTTCAATTCCATTAAAACATTTTACGGGCCAATCCCTCGTGGCACAGCCCCCTCCGCTCATCTGACGGTAACTTTATAATTAAAGAGCACTACCAGTCATTGCTCAACCGAAACAGCGATGTGGATATCCTGACTACCCAGCAGGTCTCTCAGCATCCAGAGGTGACCCACCTCAGCTATCCTCCATCCCTGGATGAGGTAACTACTGCCACCAAACAGATGAAGAATAACAAGGACTCAGGGCCTGATGGAATCCCAGCCGAGGTGTATAAAGCAGGAGGACCTCTGCTTACCAACTGCCTCCACTCTCTCTTGGAGAATATATGGGAAAAGGAGGAAATCCCCCAAGCTCTTAAAGACGCCACCATTGTCAATATTTATAAGAGACTGGTCAGACTGTGTCACCTACCGTGGGATCTCGCTGCTCTCCATAGCTGGCAAGATTATCGCCCGAGTCCGCCTACACAGATTTCTTCCTGAGGCGGGAAACTTCCTCCCAGAATCTCAATGTGGTTTTAGACCATCACGTGGCACCACTGATATGATCTTTGCTGACTGCGAGATACAGGAAAAGTGCAATGAACAGCGTCATAACCTGTACATGAATTTCATTGACCTAACAGTTTTGGCTGCCCACCGAAATTCATCGCCCGTGTGAGGCAACTCCACGATGGTATGAATGGCAGTGTCCTGCACAACGGCACCCAGTCTGAGTTCTTCCCCATCCAAATGGGGGTTAAACAAGGGTGTGTACTGGCACCAACTCTCTTTTCCATTTTCTTGGCTGCCTTCCTAACTCGTGTCAGTGCCAATTTAGCCAGCGGGGTGGACATCCAGTACCTGGTGAAGGGGGTCTTTTCAACATAAGACGACTCCAGGCAATAACGAAGGTGTCGGCAGCTTTCATTACTGAACTTCAGTATGCAGACGACCTCACCCTTGTTGCTCACATGAACACGACCTACAGGAGATCCTGAACACCTACGCAGATGCGTATGTACACTTCAGCCTTGAGGTGAATGTACGTAAGACTCAGATTCTTTTTTAACCTGCCCATGGTCCAGACACACCTCCACCATCCATCCAGCTTAATAGTACTACCCTCTCTAATCTTACCCACTTTCGGCATCTCAGCTCCCACCT